AGAGGCAACTTCGGCGATTTTCTGTGCTCGGACGAACATGCACAAAAATCTGAAATTTTGAGAATCCATAGATGAGGTCGTGTTCTTTCCAGAAATAATAATAGAACATTTACAAAAAATAATTTACACTGCGAAATAATCGCCGCGCCGATTCGACACATTTTCCATTTTTGCCACTCAGCGATGCCTGGGCCAACTAAAAAAGTACTCCAAATTCAGTGAGCTTTCACCTCAGAAGAATGCGTGAAAAAACTTGAAAATTCGAGTACTCGTAGATTTTGTTGTGATCTTTCCCGGAAAAATGCTAAATAAATTTAAAAAAATCATTCCAACTGCAAAATAGATCGCGGCCGCAATTTGACCCATATTTCAATGAAACATGACACATGATTTAAAATGGCCCTAAGTGAAGGTCATATGAATGACGACTTTGGAAAGGCTATAGTTTAGACTTTAGAGTGAAATAATATTTTTGACAAAGCCTAACTGCAAAGCTATATATAATGTCAAAAGGACCTAAGTGAAGGTCATATCAAATGAATACTATCTTCTATACAATGTCATATGAAACTACGATAAAAACCCTAAGTCAACGCTGTTGGGACAGAAACCCTGACAAGGGTATCTGCCCTGTATTTTCGATGTCGGACGAAGTCCGAATTTTGATATAAGTTTGTGGAATTTGGTCTGATGAAATAGACATGCTATTAAAATTTCCGACTCTTCCGTAATTTCCAACAAGACCGCAGGGATGCGCGGTCATGGAAAGGCTAAAACTAGACCTATTCTACCTAAAACAATGTCAGCCGCACGATTCAGGGCCTAAGTAGGTTTGAAAAGGGCAGCCGCACTACTGTTCCAAGGTGTCGCATTTGACCCATACTCCAAATTTTGTCATTCAGTCTCTCTCTCTCTCTCTCTCTCTCTCTCTCTCTCTCGTTCTCGTGTTTTTTAATTTTTCGTAGCCTTCCCCCCCCCCAATCGTGGCTGCAATCTGACTCATACTCCAATTTTGTCATTCAACCTCTCTCTCTCTCTCTTGCGCGCGCGTGCGCGCGCACTTAGACCCATTGCTTTGGCTACCTTAGGGTTGCGTTCCCCGCACCCACACGGTAGACAATGGTAGGTAGGTAGTGAAAGGTGAAATTGAGAGAAGCAATTCTCTTCACCTCTGGACGGAAAGGTCCAGACTAGGGCATGCAGTCCAATCCTCTTTGTGGGACCTCGCCCCACAAAGAGCGGGCTCGAAAATCGGCCCTAAGGGCCTGGGCTGCGCTTGAGCACGGGGGTTGGAAAAGGCAGGAAACCCGACGAGGAGATCAGTGCACCTCTAGGGCGATGTGGAACGGTCCCCGACCAGCGCACCCTCGAGCTCCAACTGGTGTGGCACGAGGCTAACCTTTATAATTAAAAAAAAAAAAAAAAAAAAGAACACAGTATGTGTGCGTCATCAGTCAGGCAAAAGGCGCTGAGTGCACAGTGTCAAATTTCTTTTGCATGTTGAGTAGACCATTGCCGACCCAGTCAATGCGTGTGTGTGTGTGTGTGTGTCACAGAGAGAGAGAGAGAGAGAGAGAGAGAGAGAGAGAGAGAGAGAGAGAGAGAGAGAGAGAGAGAGAGGTGCGTGGCAGAGGGTGCTCAACTTCTTCCCCTACTTCCTCCTCCCCTCCCCCTGACAGAGAGAGAGAGATGCGTACCAGAGGCTGCTCGACTTCTTCCTCCACTTCCCCCTCCGATCGCGCCTGTCGATGTCCCTCTCTCTACATGGGTCTGTGTGTGGCTCGCCTTCAAGCTCGCCGTTTCCTTCCGCTGTATAGCGTTCCACGATCCCTCTAGAGAGCGCGTTTAGCAAGCCATGAGCTGAGGTCTTGCTGCGGGACTGTCCTGCGCCTCTCTCTCTCTCTCTCTCTCTCTCTCTCTCTCTCTCTCTCTCTCTCTCTCTCAGCGTCCTAACATGGGAGTGACCTTCGAGTGCACTCCCACGCTAGGACACTTTGAGAGAGAGAGAGAGAGAGAGAGAGAGAGAGAGAGAGAGAGAGAGAGAGAGAGAGAGTTTCCTGGATGCATCTGATCGAAATTGCGGCTCCTCCTGCATGTATCTGACGGCTATTACGTCCAGATATGCGTCGAAGTGTCCTTGCGTGGGAGTGACCTGTGAGTGGGGCAGAAACGTCCCAGTTTCGCGATGCCAGCTCACAACGTGGACATCGGCGAGGTAAGCGGTGCGGCGGGCGGATGATGTGAGACGAGCGAAAGTCAGACGTGCATTATGGCGGACAGTTGGCAGAGCGGGGGATGAACTGCCTGGAAGAATGAGGACGAGGGGGAAGGAGGGGAAGGCGTGGTTGTAGTGGAGCGCAGGTTGTGGCTAATGTGCGCGACGTGCTTGCGCCACGGCGGGAGGCAGCGGGGGAAAGTTGCTGAGCAGGATAAAATGAAAGACGATGCAGAAGCCTATTTGGAGGCGAGAATGGGAAGGCGGCAGGGCTTCAGGGCGAGAGGGCGGTGAAGATGGACGGACGCGCGCATCAGTTGAGGGCGTGTACCATAAGCGCAAGGACAGGTACTGACGTCGTCCTCGCGCATCAGTTGAGGGCGTGTACCATAAGCGCAAGGACAGGTACTAACGTCGTCCTCGCGTCGAGATCCGTTTTCCTTCGTGGATCGGAATCAATCTCGATTGTTTATCCTAGCGGGTAGAAGGCGGCCACTAATACTTCTCTCTCTCTCTCTCTCTCTCTCTCTCTCTCTCTCTCTCTCTCTCTCTCTCTCTCCTCCCTTGAGCGCGCGCTCTCGCGCGCACTCGCGCGCTGCTGAAGAAACTTGTTCGTGCGGGGAAGGCTACTATGGTCAGTACGTACGTACGTAAGCAACTCTCTCCATGACAAGCTTAGTACGTACGTACGTACGTACCAGTATGCATGCAAATACGTACTATGGACAGGCATAGTACGACCAGTATGCGTGCAAATACGTACGTACGACCACCATGCATGCAATCCGCCATGCATCAAATACAGAGGTGGCCTGTACTATGATCTGTTGTGCTGCGGTGCATTCTACTCCTGTGGCACACCCACACCCACACACACACACATGCGCGCGCGCGCACACACACACACACACACACACACACACACACACACACACACACACACATACACACACACACACACACACAGACAGACGCAACGACATACACACACACAGACACAACACATGCGCTACAAAAGAACTGAAGAAAGGTCGGCTTCGGGACTAATTGGATAGCGCTCACCACGTTCTGATGCTGATGCTTGATCGCAATAATCACAGTCATGATGATGATTATGATGACAATGGTTCTGAGGAGGACATCGATACCGAGGATGTCAAATTGCGAACATGCCCAGGGGGAGGGGCACAGGTAAATGGAAGGAAAATAGAGTCAAGATCATTATGGTGGTGATGATGCTGACGATGCAGGTGAGATGAAGATGATGATGATGAGGATGAGGATGACGATGATAATGATGATAGTGATGATGACGATGATTAGGATAAACACGGTGTCAAGATGATGATTGTACTCATCGTTTCTGTAGGTGACAACCCCGATTTCATTAGTAATTTGAAGAGAATTAGACTTCAAATTTCAAACTGCGTCCGTGGGCGTAAAAACATCGCGATGGTCATCATGGTTTTGATCATCGTGATCACGATGGCGTGATGAGGTGAACTCTTGGTCAATCAGTAGGATGAGGGAGAGATGGAAGGTAGAAGAAGAAGAAGAAGAAGAAGAAGAAGAAGAAGAAGAAGAAGAAAACGATGTAGAAGTGGTGTACGGGCATTCCTCCCCACGCTTTTCGTGTGCCACCCTTCACCCGCTTTCCCCAAGTCCTCCGCGATCTTCCTCCCTACTTCCGCATGCTTCCGCCCATTTCCGGTCTATAACCTCTCCCTGTTTTCCCCCGCCTGCTCTACAACGTTTCCGTCTCCTTCCCTACCTCCTCCACCCCCCATCTTGCCGCAAATGTCAACCCCATTCCACCCCCCATTCCCTTCTCCACCCCTCCCCCTGCTTTCCGACCTCCTCTTCCCTGCCTCTGGCGACTTCACTCCACGTCCACCCTCTTCCCCTCTGCCACCTTTGGCCCTCCCTACCCTCTTCCTCTGCCATCTCCTCTACTCCCTACCTGGTAGCTGTCTAGTCTTGTTGTTTGTGAGGAGATGTTCCCGGGGGGTTTTGAACCCAGGCAGATAAGTTAATAGTTGAGTGGGGCTTCGGTCTTCCCTCCAATAGAACGTACCGTCAACGTACCGTCATCATAGCTGTATTTGGGGCACCTTTCCAGTCTTGAGACAGCGATAATGAGCTGTATTTGGGGCACCTTTCCAGTCTGGAGACAGCTATAATGACCCTACGTTCAGTGAAGACGGCACAGCGATAATGACCCTGCATTGTATGGGCGTTAAGATAAACAGCGGTAATGAAGGTACACACTATTCGGGGGAGGACTGTAGGCCAGGTAGACTGTAAGGCAGGTAGACTATAGTCATGAAGTGCAACAGCTGGAGACTCGTTCTTAAAGCACCAGGACATGGCCCCAGCCTTGCAGAAAAGAAACTCGCCGCCACCACCGGAAATTTCGGGGCTTTTCAGGGCTCGGGGCAACTGGACCAAAACGGTGGCTGCCGCCAGCCAAAACAAAACAGAAACCCTGCGCTGACGCTTCGACAAATTTCGGTGCGCAGGGGTCGCATCAATTTGGCAAAACAGCCAGGGATGTACTGGTGATTTAACTTGGGAAGAGGGGGGGGGGG